GTCCCAAGTTAGAATTCCTTAAGACGACTTGGACTCAATAAATAGCCAGGTCGTCTTCGAAACCGACACGGACTCGGATGGCAAGGGATACATTTGATCGCCGGCGCAGACCCGCCACGGCCCACGCAGCTGCACGGGAAACGAGGCCCGTTCTATACATGTGCACTGTTCCGGGCCAGCCGCGACAAAAATTAAATTTGTGAGAGGCCCGGGCCACCTGCAAGTATGAAAAAATGAAGGTTTATGGTATCTTAATAATTTCGATGATGTGGCTGACCTGTCTACCGGAAGCTTAACTTGTCAATATGCATATGTGAGTCCCTCGCACAGGAGATGCATCATGCATGGCATGCCTCAGACCCGCTTAGTAGCTTACCACTAGAGTACCTATGCTTACCACTCAAGATGCTTCCAACACATGGTGAGCTGGCCATGCAGGGAATTCTTGCAACACAGGGTAAGCTGAGCAGTCAAGGTATGCCTGCTGCACAAGGTAAGCTTGCCTTTTAGGGGTATTGCCACTTTTTGTGCCTTTTGCCATATAAGATAAGCTCAGGAAAGAACGTTGGCTCACATTCTTACCAAAATATTGCACAATTTGATGTTGGTGACTTAGTGTCACTTTACATTCCCAGAATGAACCGACATGCAACTACAGTCGAACCCGGGACCGGGAGGGCCATGCTAATAGAGATGTTATGCAAATATAGAGCATGCTACTATAGAGATTCGACTGTAATACATTTTTAAATAAATACTCATTACCTCCCGTTGGGGGACCATGAGGATCGACTGTAATGCACATAGGCAAGATTATCCTTAAGCCTCACCCTGATCCATATCCGCCGCTAACTATCTGGTGTACTGTTAACATCCAACCGGTGAACTACAGCAACTCCGCCAAATTTTACACATCCTGATTTGGATGAATTGCATACATGCAAACTGCCTACCATTAAGAGAGGCTGCTTCCTTAACTACATTGACCCAGTCTGCATGTAAATGTAAATTTTTCTATATCTTATATACACTTTATTTAGTACATTATTTATTCATATGCGGTCTCCGTGCTGTCATTAACCGGCTAATTCCAGATGACCCCGAGAGGCCTGACTGAAGCCCGGTCCAAACCTCTGCTTGCCTTTTCGCATGAGGGCCCCCTTCTTCCAGCGAGCTTTCTATAAAGGCAACCGAAGAAAGCATCTCCTACAAATCCCGTTCCATCCATCGTCGTCAGAATCTTCCAACTAGGGCACAATACATGCTGCCAGCCCTTCTTCTTTAATGTTAAATCTCATTTCTACATTTACTTTTTTTTCTCCAGCGCAGCAGAGCAGGCCCAGTTGAACAGCTTGGAATGCAATGGGCCCTATTCCTGCTTTGTAATCCATTTTATGCTTTGTTCCACGTTATATCTACTCTATATCAAATTTTACTTACTAGGGTAATTATGTGCTCCCGTGTTCTCCCGCGGGGCCCGGGCCACCCGCGAGGCAGGCCTCTCGCGAATATTGAGTTCTCGCGGCTGGCCCGGACATGAATATGACTTGTCATTTGCAGAGATGGAAGGGGTAGATGTTGAGGTTGAGGTTTGAGTGAAATATAAATTGAAGAAAAGAATGGAACATGTGGGATTTTGTGAAAGACCTAGGGGGTTATTGGGAGTGGGAGGGACGCGCCCGATTATCGAGGAAATGATAGGTAGAGATCTGAAGGTTGACTTTCAGGGCACACCTATTTGGCTCAATGTTCCTTTCTCCCAAGGATATCAATACTATGGCTGGGGGGATCTGGATTAATATGCAGAGTCGGATTTGTACTAGCGTTTACTTTGTTTAATATTTTCGTTTCTATGAGTTTTTCAATATTTAATTGGCTTGCGATATGGATCGGAATTCAGTTTGCTAGTTATTTATCAGCTTCGGTTTTCTACCGAGTAGAACATCGGCCTCCGTTCAATTTCCTAGCTTTGTTTATTGCAGTTTCATGAACAGGTAATTGTAAAGACAAGAATGAGTAATATGCAATCACAATCATTCAGTTTTTTCGGGCCTAGGTTCATGCATGATATCGCTGTAGTTCAGGTTTGCTACATACCGGCTACCGGTACTTACAGACGACATTGATTCTACTTCATGTGCATTGTAGATCTGACCGGTTGACGTCTGCCATGGAACAATCCACATTAACGACCAGGTATGGCATCAATTACATGTACCTACTGTACTGTATATGCTGGACTTAGAATCAATCCACACGAAAAATGGAAATAGCTCCTTGAAAGCTCCAGCCCCTCCACCTAGAAAAATCGGAGGGAGGTTACCTCCACCCAGACAGCGCTGCAGCCTCAACGCGCTGGTATGCTCTGCTGCGGAAAAGTCGTCACTTTGGAATCTCTTACAAAATACTGGTAGATAGCGCTGTGTACTAACCTGAGTTTTCTATACATGCCTTGGCTGCTAGCAGAAGGACAAACCTACCCTCATAGGAGAAATTGTTTACAAATCAACAAAGTCTGGTAAAATTAGATTATTCTAAGTGGACATATGTTTAGCTCACATAGACACTTAGGTAATGTGTCTCTCAACAACATCTATCGATCTCCCCCGCCGGTATGGCACTAGTTACACCTGCAAAAAAAAAAAAAAAAAAAAAAAGTAAATATACCGAGCCGTTCAGTTCAAGGCAGAGTGAAAATATCAAAGGCGACCAACTTTAATATCGCCCTAACCGCCTACATGATTAAATATCATCACAGCTGAGGTACACCTCCTAAATGGGTCCAATAATAACCCTGCCAAACAAACGCCCTCACACAATGTCAGTGACTCACTTTTTTTTTTTTTTTTTTACGATAACATCAATGTGACCTGGCAGCGGAGTCCGGAATCGGCAGCAACACGGCTGAAGCTCGAGAGGGTGTGCGGGTACTTTAAGTACCGGTACATACAGTATCTACACCGGGTCTGTTGCAACAGACTAAATTGATCTCGATCCAATGATTTTGTGGCAGAAAAAGATGGGTGTTATCAATAAGAAAGATTAAATTTTGTAATTAAGCTATATAAACGTGAGAAATCGGTAAGTGGTTGAGGTCAACCAGATAGACTAGTTGAGATTGTCTTCTAACTATTGGGTATAAGCTACGTAGTGAAGCACCTACCGATTCAGCCCTAACTTCACCCACCCTCCCTCCATGGGCCATGAATTGATCCCCCACAAGGCCCGATAGACTTACTGTAAGATTTACGAGGCTATTTGGTTTCAGCGGCAGTATCGGACTGGTGATGAGACCTGAAGGTTTCGTTTATTTATTTTCCAGCTATATTGTATGTGCATTTCGGATCTATTAATGTACAGTATTTGTTATATGCCTAGTCCAAGTAATTACATTACGTCCCTTCAAACGTAAGCTGGGGTTATCCTAATGGCCCACTCACATTCCTATGTGGGTTATGCTTATGCCCCACTCGAGTCAGGATGATGCGAGTATTTCCTACTCTTGTGGCAAACGCTGGGGGACTTGACTGGTAGCCCATACCTGGCGAAGCAGATTGAGTGATCATCGACGTCGCTGGCTTTAGTAACCTCACAGGTCAGATATTGTATTCCACCCCCAAACTGACGAGATACTGCGAAGCTGCCTTGTCAGCTGGGCTGAGAAACATATTCATTTTCTCCCCCGATCTCGCAGCTGTGATGACTATTGGGGGTAGGTTGACTGACCTTACGCTGTTTCACTTCCATGACTTACTATGAACTACGTTATATAGGTATGTGTATTACCAGGTATGTGTATTACCAGGCTGAGTCGCCTTCTACGGTCTACCTCTCCAACTGCCATGGCACTCCATTCTCCAAAGCCAGCTAAGTACGTCCCAACCGGTTACTCTTCCTTGACCACCTTCCGCTGCCTGCTCCTGCCTACTACCCCCTCGGTGAGAACATAAAATGCTCTCCTTTACTCTCTAATCCTCCTGGTTCTGCAACCCACATCCTGGTTTGTCCCCCCCGAAGTCATGACTCCGGCAGTTCTCTCCATCATGGACTTCTTTTTGGTCCATTCTTCGCTGCAGTCTTGCAAGTCGCGAGTGGGGTGCTGCGTAGGAGGTCAAGGCGTCGGCGTCGGCGTTAGTTTTTGTCGTGACACAGATGGGTGAGAGTGTCATGCAGTCACGAGTTGTCCTTAATTTAGAGTGAGAAGAGAGTAGGGGGCCTCTAGAAGCTAGTAGCAAAGGTAATTGTAGCGATGGAGATCAGGTAGTGAGTAGTGCCCAACAAGAGTCAGAGACAGGAGAGGGTTTGTAGCCCGTGTTGTGAGCAAAAGTCCATATGCTCCCGTACATGTAAACGAGAATCAAAACCTAGGAGTGGAAGAACTAGCATAAGATGGAATAGAGGAGCGGAAAACAGTTCCTGTGGCCAGTAGTTCCTGTGGCCAGTAATCTTCGTATTGTTTAATTTCCTATCGATAGACTTTCCTATTTTGGCTAGTATTACAATTGTTTACAGAATGTCAATGAATATTTTTCTATCAAATATATTCTTAAGGATGTTCGTTACAGATCTGGCAAAGCAACCAGTCAGATCTAGTTACGTAGATGGTCTGTATATGCGCTCCAGAAAAAAAAATCAAACTGCTACTTACTACATAGTATATATCACTACTTATATACGTAAATGGTTAGAAACTCTACTTAGCTCCGGGCCTGTAGTGTTCATACGTGCCAACAGACTATGTTCATACGAGATTATGTAGAGTCTGACTTTAGAAGTATATACTTCATACCATATCCTAATAAGCAATATACCAAGATAGCTAACCAATATATTATAAGACAAAATTGGTTGCACTACCCCTCAACCAGACTAACAGGTCACGCTACTGGAAATCTCTGGTCGCCTCACAACCGAATTGAGCAGTACGTAATCTGTACCGTACCTACCTTATAAGTTTAGATATCGGCCATATTTACTAAAACTCAAGTCTTGAGCAAAAATGATTAAACCAAGGATTGAACTTGGGACCTTCTGTGAACCTTACTATGTGTAAGACAGATGTGATAACCACTACACCATTTAACCTGAACTTTGTTAAATGAGCATCTCTTAATAAATCTAAGAGATAAACATGGCAGGAATGAGACTAGACATTGCAAATACAAATTGTCTGAATTCCTTTGCCTGCAGCCCCCACCCCGCCCTGAGCGGACTGTTTTGCAGCTCATTGGACAGCCCATCGCTGTCTCAATTCCATAGGCAAAGTCCCAAATGCCTCCTCCCCATCCTGAATTGCATGAACCCGCAATTTTCCACCGACACATGCTACCTGTGCCCTACCACCCTCTGCAGACCTTGCTATTTGAATAATACTCCTTAGCAATGCCGCCAGCTTCCTTAAATTCCCCTGATTCTCATCTTCCCAGAGTTGTAAAGCTTTTACACCCATTACCTCAGTATCCACGTTCATGAAGCTCCCGCGCTGGTGATACCCAACATAGAGATTAGAAGTATTGGAAAACCAAAGCTGTGGAGTTTGATCTGTTAGGTCGATCGTGCGATCTCTTGCGCGGGTTTTCATCTCAAGGACGCGCTCTTGAGGCATCATAATCCCACCGAGAATAATCTCAAGCCGGTGTGGGGGATTTTCGGGTTCGTTATTCGCTTCAATCTTCAGTGATTTGGCGAAGATGTCAGCCAGGCCAGTATGGTCTGTCAAAGGGGCCTTGGGAGGGGGCTTTGCGCAACTATCTCTCGCGTTCGTTGCGCTAGTATTTGCAGGAGCAGAGGCAGATGCGTGCTTCACATCTCCTGTGCCGGGGGGCCTAGTTCTAGGTGGAAATTTCTGTCCTGTTCTGGGAGGTGAATCGCTTGTTTTGTTCACCTCTTTCTCGACCGACCTTTGATCTATCCCGGTCGCTTCAGTGCCCCCTCCTCTAGGCATGTCCTTACTACCGAGAAAAGCCTCCGCAGTAAACCTCACCATCATATTTAGACCTCCGAATTTGTATTTCGCTACTCTGTGATGTCCTGTACTACCCTCAAGGCCCTTCGTATATTTTGTGAATTCCTTTTCGAATGTATGCCCGAAGCCACGAAACTCACTCCCAGCTACAACGTTAGCAGCTCGCTTCTCCCATCGTGTAACTAGCACAGTCTTGTTAATAACTTCTACATAGAATTTGAATTCATGCATAAGCTTTTGGTCTCCGCAAACAAAACGGAATAACTTCCGGAGGTTGTTCCGGTCCGTGACGATATCGATTGGGTTCAGATCAAAAGTTGGGTGCAGAGTGAATAGGGCACGGAGCGCAGGCTCGAGTGGTGAGGTAGGCCATCTATAGGCGTTTTGGTCGATGTAGAAAATTCCCGAATCTGGGTTCAGCCATGCTGGAAGTGAAGGGGGTGTCCAGCGAGCCGCAAGCCCTGAAAGAATGGAGTTAGATGGTATTCACCTCCGAGATACACTCTATGATGTTAACGAATCGGAGCTAGACTTACCCGGCACAATTATACCTGGCCTCCCCGCTTTTTCAAACCAGTTATATGATGCTACTAATTCATAGTCATCCTTTCTGTACTTTTCCGCTTCAGACTGTTCCCCGGTGGCCGCCTCAACCAACTTAGCAACTTCCAGCTCTGCGATGACGCCCCCCTTGGGCAAGTCCTCCGATGCCAATGGCTTTTTATCCTCAAGTGTTAATTTCCACGTGCCGCCATAATTGTTCCTATTCCCTCTCCCACGTCCGCGATAGCTAGAGTGGCCTGCATACAGTCGGTCATTACTAATGTTCTGATTTGATGCGCTCATGGTTGATGAGGATGGTGAATGAGAAGTTATTCCAAAGTAGTTGTGGTTGTACATCAATTGTGAAGCAGTTGAGCGATCACATACAGATACCCCTCATGATCAGGATTCCTTCGCTACGGCACGGGCCGTTCCAGCTCAACGTACGTCATTATTAAACAAAGCAGATCTGTGTTAATCTGAAACCATGTAAATTATTTAATGCCTCACCACAACGTGAAAATTGGTTGGAAATTCATAAGTCAACAGTAAATTGACAACACATCTTGAAATGAAAGAAGATGCAATTCATGAGTACCCCTTTGGCCTCCAAACTGGAGAATATTTGTTTAAATTTACGGCCTGTTCGATTTGAGGTGGTCTCAGTAAATTGATATACCACTAGGCTTGCGGAATTGTCCGCTCTTAGTAGTGCCACTCGTATTTTGGATGATATCTGTACAGTCAATCTCGCTACGAAAAGGGCAAAATTGACTACCACTTTGTACAGACAAATGGCGTTTAGTCTATCGAACCAGACTAGTCTATCCATCGATATCGATGTAGCTACACCTGCTTTGGCTTACCAGACCACTTTGGTTGAGGCTAGTCTGTCTGGGCAGGTAAAAATGCATCTTTGCATGTGATATTGCAGTGGTACATCTAGTCCAGTTGTATACAGAGTGCCAACCAGACTGCTTACCATGAAAGTTCACCCCAGCAAGCACTTTGTCCTTCCCATCGCACTAATACTCGCGACAGAACGGCCGTAGTTAGATCTAAATAATAAGTTATAAAGCTGGCCTCGGTTTCGGAGCCAGTTGCCTATAGCGGACCCTTCCACTTTCGTTATATTTCTAGTTTTCATATAGTCAGGGTTTCTTACATATGCACAAACAGTAGTACATATATCGGCACCAGGTCTAGCGAATATAGATATACCAGGTACTGAGTGTTCGGGGCTAATCCCGAGGTGTGCTTGCTTGATCATCTGAACTATGTACAAGAGGTGAATAAAGACGGAATGTATTAAAATGTAGCTTCACTATTTCCTATCCATGGACAAACGAACCAGATAAACATGATTGAGAGGTATTCCTGTGAGTATAAATGTATGTACCGCCATCCTTCCCTTCACGTGTGGTGTGAATCTGAGTAGAAGTTAGAAAACAGATTGCAGTGCACATGGAAATTGACAATATTGAGAATGAGTAGAGGCTGTGAAGGCATATGTGTGTATACTTTCGAACAACGCAAGTATGAACTCCGTGGAAGAGTGGCCACCAGCAGGAAACCCTGAGCGATATCAAGAAAGAGCACAAGCGTCTCTTCCCAAATGCAGGCATCATCGATTCCAGTGATGAGGATTACTACTACATTCCAAGCACGAGACAGTCAACGAAGGACGATTCTTATATCATACTCCGATGGCAACTCCAAACAACATGCCTGTCAGGAATAGAGAACACACAAAAGCCTTTCCTAGTAACAATTTTGTAAAGTGGGGTTGGAGAAAAAGTTAGCCCTCTATTGCATCTATAGAGTTCGTGAATTTGCCAGCGAGCTTATGTACCTAGCTATGTCTACTCATATAGATGGGGATATCTCAACAGTGTATTTGCGGAGTCCTAAGAAGAATCACTGCTCAGCTGTAGGTAATCTCAAAACCTGCTGACCAGGTGTAGTATTTGCAGAGCTGTTGCAAGGACGGATAGGGGTTCTGGTGGTGCATTCCGCACCTGCTGTTGGCTAGTTAAATTCGGATGGTCTTTATTCTTGACTGCACCTTCAGTATCCTTTCTCATCAACACAACTAGAGCTTTGATGTCATAGTCAAACTTTACCTCCTTATCCCACACACATAAATTTAACTGCCAAAATGCGAGTTTCTTGCATATATATATATATGCCTGTGAATGCATGGACTTCTTACATATATATATATAAGTAGTTTGTAGATGAGTTTCTCACATATATATATACATATAAGCTTGTAAATCTTAGAGTTTCTTACATATATATATATAAGCAGCGAGCGCATCAGTTTCTCCAGAGTCCTCCTTAACCAACTCTGATTCACACCTGGGCTCCCTCTCGCTTCCAAAACTTACCAGCACGCTCACTGACCAGCCCCCTTTCGCCCGCGGGTGCCGTACTATTCAATGCCTAGCCTGGAAATAGTCATATTGGGAAATCGTAGTCGTTGTATAAACTTATATATATATGTGCGAGAAACTCGTGCTTTTGGAGACATATATATATATATGCGAGAAATCCATGCATTTGCGGGCTTATATATATATATATATGCGAGAAATCTAGGCATTCGCGGGCATATATATATATATATGTGCGAGAAACTCGTGCTTTTGGAGACATATATATATATATGCGAGAAATCCATGCCAGGTTGGGTAAACTAGTAGCCTCCTGATTTTCTAGTAGGCCCTATACCTACTATTATATAAGTTTTAATGTTTTTTAGGTATTGTTCAAATGAGACTCTTGTTAATACAATGGAGCCTAAGGGTTATACTTCCTACAAATTTACCTATATTATGCATATGCTGGTAGACTTCTAGTAGCTACCACTAACATCACAAGGGTAAGCAAAGGGGTATGGTTAGGTTACTGCTGCAAACAACCAGTTCTCAGAATCCTTGAAAACCTCTCCCTTTCTGGCCAATTACGGTTGGCACCCTCGATTCGTGGACCCTGGGACCCCTACAGAAAGCCCACCCCCCAGCTAAGGAGTTCGCAGCTGGAATCGCCGAACCCCACTCCACCCTAAAGGCCGAATTGGGATACTCAGTATCCTAGTTATACGGATAAGACAGTTTCTTATTTACAAGAATATTTGCATGTGTTTTATGAAACTAAAGCTGTGTTCTTGAGGTTCTGTGCTGATAAGAAAACAAGAAAGGCTGCTGCAGAAGCACATAAGGATTTGTTGAAGGAACAAGCGGGATCGTTGGTTGAAGACCTTAGGGCGTCGGAAAAGGTTAGGATGCGTCAAGAAAATACCTTCCTCATAGCCCCCCTAACGGGGCTGCATAGGAGTACCAAATATAAAAAAAAAAAAAAAAAAAAAAAAAGGCAGTCTAGGCCAAGATCTCGCCCGCCAGATTATTCAGGCCGGGCATACCACGGGAGTAGTCATGAGAAGCTTGGATGGATTACGAAGGTCGAGTTTCTGCACGATAAGCTTGTTTTTGGTGCTCATGCAATAGAGGGCTAACTTTTTCTCCAACCCCACTTTACAAAATTGTTACTAGGAAAGGCTCTTGTGTGTTCTCTA